CTTCGCTATCAGATAAGTAGGTAGCTATATTTAATAATATCGATTTTTATTCTCTCATGCCACACGATTGTCTTCAAAGTTGCGAGGTGGCGGAACTGTTAGTTACAGGAAGTCACGGTACCGGAAATCTCGTACGATGTAACGTTAGAAGTTCGTGGCCGGAAATAAACATTTTTCAATCGTTTTTATTATGATCGTTTAATGGAAAGGCGCCGAAGAATAATAAACGATGCACAAATTTTCATGCTCGGTGATTTCGTTGCGTGTCGTTTGATGCAATTAAAGTAAGCGTTAAATGTATCGTTACGCTTTGTCTATCTCATTCTATTACATTGTTGCGCGATGAAATGATCGATTTCACAAATGTATAAAGTTATTCAAATTTAATGAGTGTTAAATTAAAAATAACTTTATATTAAAAATATATTAAAAATAATATTCGTTGCATATTAATTATTTTTTTTTAAATTTTTATTAATAGATTCATATATATGAATTATACTTTAATTTTGATATAAAATCCATATACTTTTCTCATATAAAATATACAAAGATTGTTAAAAACTAATCTTTTCATGGCGAATTGTCTAATGATCACATGATAAGGATGAAAATTCGGTCTTAATGAAGAAGATTGTATAAAAAAAAGTTTTTTTAAAATTCCTTTTTTTTCATTATTCTTTCGATTCTTAATTTTTAAAAGAATATTATTATTGTTATTATTAAAGAAAGAAAACATACGAATTATTATTAAAAATACGAATAAATATTTTATAATTGCAAAAGATTCAGAAATTTTGAGTTTATTTATGTTTTTGCCAAACGTAAAAAGGCACAACGAGTGAAAGTGAAAGAGGAGTGAGAGTCGACATACTCGAAAAAACATATCGGTGAGACGATACTCAATGTAACGATTTAATTTCTTTATTTTTTAACATTTTTTTAATGAAACTTTTACCAATGAATTTTTGAGATTTTTCTGATTAAAATAAACGTAAAAATAAAATAAAAATAATTGTGATATAATTTGGATCATATTTGTTTATTTAATGAATAATTATAATTGTGTCTATTGAATAAGTATAATCGAAATTATATTTGTGAAACTTAAATAAAAAAAGTAAAAAATAAATTATTGTCTTATCGATATATCAAATCTTGTTATATTGTGTGCGTTAAAGCTATTGTCAAAAAAATTCTCCAATATAGTTTTCACTTTTTTTTACGTACAGTTATATTTTGCAATTATAAAATATATATTTATAAATATGAATCCGACCTTATATTCTCTTGACAGAGATTGATAGAATTTTTTCAAAAAAATCAATTTTAAATAAATTTAATTTTAAAATTGGTTGATGTAAACAAAAATAAAAATCAGAATATTATTGATAATAATCAATTAAAAATTTTATTTTCCAATAAAAATATTGAATTTAATAAAATTACATATAGTTAAAACTCATATTAAAAATTTGTTAATTTCATTTACAATAATCTAATATATAAATTTTTATATAAAAGTATCGTTTTTTTCTGGCATTTTTATGGCATGTTTCTATTTTGTGATACAAGTTTTATAGATTGATTCATGTTAATATAGATAGCCGATTTCAAAGCTGTTGCGAATTTTTCGCATGACCGGCCATCTTAATTACAATCCAACATTGTGAATGGAAGATTCAACTACCACCCACGGTTGACAAGAAGATTGTATACGTACGCGTTTCAATGGGCTTATAAATAACGTGGACAACGTAAAAGATGTCTAAAATGTCTGCTAATGGATAACAAATATGGTACTTGTTTACGACAATTTCATTCGTATCTCGCAATTACGTAAGCGTCGTACATATATTCATATCGATTCATCGAGTCGACTCGAGTTCGAGTTAACACGGATTAACAAAATTTCATGCAGCCAATTTTTATGGATATGTAGATATGTTGTTTATATTTTCATATAAATCATGTGGAATTATGTTTATAATACAATAGTGCCTCGATAGAAATACTGACTTTTTTTTAAAATTGCTTCGAGCAATTTATATTTTTTTATTTAGATTATCAGGTAACATTATACGTACTGAATATTTCATGTTCAACTAAGCATAAGCCAAAATAAAAAATGAATTACTCAGAAGAAAAATTAATCAACTCCGCTTTTTGAAAAGTTTTAAATTTTTATATGAAAATATATAATTAATATTTGCGAAATCAAATAATCAATACCAATGGAATTGATTAGTTAGTTTTTTGTACACATTAAATATTATATCATACGTCAAATATCGCGTTACTCAAGAATTTGCCTTGACTATCCGAGGCGGATACCTGCACGAATTTACCCGATTTTTTCCGAACCCACCCGAACTTTTTTTAAATCCAAGATACGAATTCTCAGATAGCGCGCAATTTTCAAATGCCTTCTATTCTCATAAATGTTTATATGATTGTGATTATTTCGTAACTCAAAATATTTTATTGTTTATTATAAATATATATTATACTTATTTGTGCTTTAATTTTTTTTTTAAATTAAAAATACGACAATAATTAATTCTAAAAATATCTATCTCTTTCGTTAATAAATATGACGCGATTTTAACACGTGTTCGTTATCGAGGCTATTACTATATTATTACTATAGGCGAGAATATATATGTTTCAAAATGAATATATATATATATATATATATATATATATTGGAGGTTATGATGATTTATAAAGTACATAGAAGCGATATGGAAATGTCACAAAACTCGGATCAAGCATTGAAGTGTTTAGAAAGCACTTTTTATTAGAAAATAGTATTAGTAGAATGACGTCAACATTGAATTGAAGTGACGATGCATGTAGAGATGGCACGTGGGCCACTTTTTATAAAAGCGAAAGATAAAAAACGATAATAAAGCGGACGATGATAATAATACTTTAATACTTTGTTGGCGCAACACTTTTAGCGAACAAAAGCAAATTGCCTTTTACTTTGACAATGTTGCCAGTTTACGACAATTAAATCGTTTAGCTTACGATGAAAGCGGACGTTCATCGTGAGGAGAGGAATCGCGCGCGATCCTCGTAGCTCGAAAGGAGAGCGTCAGTGTAATCGTTGGTGCGTCGTAAAACGATGATGCCCGTGAATAGCGGGTCATGCAAATTTAGTCAATTTAGTGCCTCGATGCGCCGAACTACATTGAGTCGTTATTCACCGTGGGTCACGATGCATGACACTCGATTCAATCGTATGTTAAAAATGTAATTACACGTACATGTAAATGTATATGTAATTTCATTTGTGCTTACATTTGTTTTATAAAGCCGAGCTTCCTTTCTTAATACTATTAGAATAATAATATTAATATTTTACAAATTCTAACTCTCGTCTAATTATCACAATTGATATTGAAAATTATAAAAAGAGCTTTTCGCATACAACTTTTTATAACTTCATATATTATTAATCGATAAAAGAAGTTAAAAATCCAAAATATAATAACTTTCACTATATAACTTCCGATATCATAAGATATATACATTCGATTCAGCAAATTCCATTGAGTTCGTTCTCAAAAATATTTAAGTCATATCATAAAAACATTTCCAATTCCATTCGTCATTAATGCGAATAGATTATTCAAATATACAATCCATTTGATAGAATCCTATCCACATTCGTGACATCGATACGATTTCACGAACGGATCTGTGGTACGAACACGGACATGCACTTTCGACAAAGACAAAGGTTATGTACACTCGAGTATAATAAAAAAAGACCGTGAGGCGTGGGAGTTGGAAAACGCATCACAAAATTAGTACCTTTCTCCGGAGGGTTTGTCTGTCGAGTAGACAAGTCCGTGTAAATCTCAAGCGGGAGGGCTCGGGCAGACGGTCGAAGGTACTTTTTTCAAGACGTCGAGGAAGGCTCTATTCGATGTCGACATTCGTCTGTCGGCGCTATTCTAGGAGTCATTGCCCCCTGGTCTATCCCGAGGTTCTCACGCGTTTTGCATACGGCCCCGCGTGTTTGTGTCACCTGTCTGCGAAAACAGGTGTCTATTCAACCTCGCTTCGTGCCACGCCTTGTGATGTATTATTGAAAAAAGTACGATGGACCAGGATTGAACTTACTCATTCCTTGTTCGAAAATCTCACGAGTAAAGCCACGAATACCTATATTTTGGTATTGGAGTGAAATTCTCGAGAGTTTTACTTGTAAACTAAAATTCCCTAGTGGAATTTTCAGAATCTAGATCCTTAAATAAATTATGATTTGAAAATATAGTATAAAGTATATGTAAGTATAAATAGAACAATTCTCGAGATTTTTCATTAGAGAATATGCCACTTTGACTTTTTTTTATCCTTTTTTATTGTTATTTTATTGATTAGATTGTTAGGTTAGAAAGTGAAAGTGACCGTCTAAGAATAATTTTCATTCTCGAAAGTTATTTTCCGGAAGAGAAACACTGAGAGAATACATTTTGAGAATAATTATCTAAGAATAATTTGTTCGAAAAATAATTTTCGAGAACAATTCTCGTAGATTAGATTAGATTGGATTGAATTGATAATAATTTTCACTTTTAATTATTCAGTATCTAAAAAATTTTATCGTTAAATTTATGCATATCCTAATTCTAATCTCAACATCATTTTCATATTCTTTTTTTTTTTTTTTTTTTGCTTTTTTAATTCAAATTCGAACTTTGAAATAAGTTTCTCGATGAAATTCTATGCGATACTTTCACATGGAATTTGTGTTGCAGATACAAATGCCAGTCCACTACGCGAATCTTTTGGAAATCACCATCTCGAAAGCTCTTTGGTACCAGAGTAAGTATTCCAAGAATGAAATAGTACTTTTTTATTTCTTTTTGATTATTATTTCTTAACCTGTTCACAAATACATATATTTTGCTATTAATCGTGTCCCAATTGTTCGAATTTACGAGATTTATTGAGCCAATTAGCCAATTGGAATTGAATAATGCCGTTAATATTGATTTTATCGCTGAATTTGATTATTTATCTTCAAAACCTTTCGTTAATGAAGGAATATATAAGGAAATAATCTCTATGTATGAATATGATATATAAGGTTACACTTCTAATCATAAATATTTTATATACTTATTCTATATAAAAATATTTTATGAAAAAAAAGATTTAAATATAATTAGAAAATCTAAACAATTTTTTTTTTTGCATATATAAAACATATATAAAATGAATTCTATTAAATTCTATTTAACCAGTCCAAACATATTTATTTTTATTTCTATTTTATCGAATGTTATATATAACACAACAAAATACTTAAAAAAATTTAATCATTTTATATATCCGAATTATATATTTGATAAGTAAAATTTTAAAATGTTCAATAACGATATAATTATATTTTCTTTCTTTGTTCGTTAAAAATTCAGGTTCTTGATAATGGAAGAAGAATAAAGATGTGTCGTGTAAATTTAATCAGATATAGATTTTAATTGAATTTAATCAATTACAATCAAATATCAGATATTTTAATACTCGTAGTAAACAGTGTACATTCACGAATATAAATGTTTGAAAGCATCGGTATTTGTATGCACAACATGTATTCGGATGGAATTACTAAACCTTTGAGCGCATCGTAGGCAAAGATGAAACAAGAACGACTTGCAAGCTGCTAGCAAACCGCGCGGGCGGAACAGCTAGTCGATATAGGAGAAATAAAACGTTGGCGCCTGGTCCGATATAGACGAGAGAGAGCCTATTGCATGATGACGTAACCGAACGAAAGAGGGAGTTAAAGTTTGAACGAAGCGCAGAGTTTGGTCCGTGATCGCCATACCTTCCATAACCTTTTGGTCGTCGCAGGTCGTAGGTTTTACCGCGACGTTCTTTCGACCAGTTGCACGTTAGCCGTTTCATTCGACAGGCATGTATTTGCCTCTCTTCCGTGTTTGATATTTTCTTCGATTCTTTTCGTATATCTATCTTTCTACTTTTTCTGTTTTCTCCATCTAATTGTGAAACAGCGTTACGAAAATAATCAAATTAGTTACATATATTGTGCATGTGATGATACTTTACGTTTTCTTTTTCTTTTTAATATCAAGATCTTTTTTGAATTAATGTTATTAGTGAAATTTTACAAATTAAAATGATCAATATAAGTGATATTTTAAAAGAAAATTAACGAAATCATAAATTTTCTGACCACAAAATTGAAAAAAGAAATTTATAACCTATAACCTATAATTTGTTATTAAATTGCTAATAAATTATTGTGCTCTGTCGTTCGAATTAATTCAATAAACGAACACGAGAAAAGATCGTTGGGAATACATGATATAGAAATCTAAAGTGACAAGAGACAATCGGTGAGTCACGATATCCTTCCTCACCGCATCCTTTGAACGTGAAAACGGGATCCAATGTGGTCAAGCGTGATCTAACGTCTTAGATTCCCGTCACGGTTTCTGAGATCGTCTCTTTTCTTTCCCCTATGTTTGATCCATACCTGTCCCTTCCCTTTAAAATCCAAGCGTTCGAGAATCGCTTGAACTTGTTCCAAAAAACATGCCGGTAAATGTGAAAAACGACTTGATCGACCAAAGAACCGTTCGATTCATCTTTTTCCACGTTGTTCGTTTGAAAATTTTGATTTATGACTCGACAACAATACAAAAGCAAATGTGGCTTGTAGTATTCCCGCCATTTGTACAGTTATACCACTGATGTCGATCCGTTAGAGAAAAGAAAGCGTTTCATAGAGATCATTGAAGCGTTAACGGATACAAACTCACGACTGATGGTGTAATTAGTTCCAATTGGTAATTCAAGCGCAACCTCTTTCCTGTATGGCTTAGCTAATACTAGACGCCAGTATATAGATATGTGAGCAATTTGAAACACTCGAAAATTGACTTCTACGTTTATTATGCTAAGTTACTCTAACAGTATTCCCTATTTACCATACATTTAGTAAAACCATATTTCAAAAAATTCGAAAATTTCGAAAATATAATACATGATATATCAATTGATTTGCTATATAAAAAATAATCTTTTAAAGATTTGTTGAAAAATTAAACTTATTTATGAATTTAAACAAAATTTTAAATATATGGATATATATATTTTTATAAATATTTTATTTTAATATTAAAAATTTATCTACATAATTAAGCAAAAGATCAATATACGATTAAACATTCTGACATCATAGACACATTTTTTAATTTCTATCATTGTATTTTTTAAAATCACAGTACAATATTTATTTATTTAATAATCCATAGTAACTTTTTTATCTATTAAATAAATAATATAATATAATAATAATAGTTCATCATATCGTATTTAATTTTATTTTAATCAGATAAACTTTTATCAAATACATTCATAAAAATTACATTAGAAAGAAACTAAACAATTTCTCATTCACTTGTTATCATTTTCTACATTTCACAATAAACATAAATAAACTTCGATCAAGCCATATCAGAAGTGTCAATATATATCTATGTTTGATAATTGCAAATTCCAATTTTTACAACAAAATACAATTACACTTGTGTTTTTCCTTTTTTTCTTTATTTTCATAAATATTATATATTGAGAATCGCTTTTTTTTTTTTTTTTTTGCGCAGATAAATTAAAACGGAGGAAGGACAATGTTGTCGTACATGCTACCAACCGAAGACAAACCACCACCCGGAGATTCGAATCAGGGCAATTACCGCGCTAGTAAGTTGCAGAAAAGTCCGAAGGAACGTCCATCCATCGGTTCGAAGCCGGTGGGCAAAGTGATCACGATCTCTCCGAAAAAATACGTTGACACGTCCAAAATGATCGTTTCAACGAAGATCGAGGAGCATGGTGACGATCAGCGCCATCTGCAGGACGAACAGCGACAACAGCAGGGGATGTTGAGTGAAAGTCCAAAGCACAACGGTACCGTGGTGAAAAAATCGACTTTGCACACCTCGAAGGTCACTAAAGATGACAGCCTGTACAGTATAAACAGCGACGCGAGCACGGTTGGAAGTGATCGAAAGAGTAAAATTTTTAACGGGGCGAAACACACTAGTCTAAAAAGGTAAGAATAAAAACTAGATAAATAAGTGTTAGAGATAGAGAGAGAGAGAGTTCAAGGGTCGCGTGAGATTACCTTTCTAAATTAGCTCGTTCGATCTTTGATCTTTTTTCTGTGTGCTATCTTGATAATTTGGATCTATTTGGTATCCAAACAAATTTTGTTCATTTATAAAAAAACTATTACTATTAATTATTATTAAATTTATTTTAAAATGATGACAATACTTTTTAAAAGTGTGCAAACTAATATAATGGTTATAAATGGTTAAAAATTTAAGGATTTTTTAAATTAAAATAAGAAAATCAAGAATAAAGAAATTGGCTTCGACTTTTTTTTATAAATTATTGATAATTAAAAATTAACAAAAATATTTTTGGATTGCTCACATCATTTTAATGATTTTTGATTATTAAAATTATTAATAAAAAAAAAAGAAACACAATTTTTTTTATTTTTGACTTTCATTTTATTTTAACCTTTAAATATTTTATTTTTTTTTTTTTTGTTCAAAAAGATCAAAAAGATCCGAACAATACAACGATTGAATTTAACAATAATTAACAATAAAATGATTAAAAGAGCAGAGTCGAATTTAGATCTATTGATTTTTCTAAATTTTTTTCTATTTTTAATAATGCATATATATAAAATTTTGATATAAAAGCTGCATCTTTCATAAAAACAGTATTATAAACATATATACTTTTTTTGAAACAATAATTTTATTACAAAAATTTATTAATTTATTATATATATATATATATATATATATATAAACATATCATTTTTATATATACATATAAAGTATATGGGAATCACAATATAAACTTCGAAAAGTTGTATACAGTTCACAAGCACAATTTGATCATTTCTAACATGTATGCAAGATATCAACTATTTTCTTAACCTTGAACGTTCAATATTATTGTATTACCGACACTATCATTTGAGATAATAGACAATGTATTATTTGGTCATGATACAATTTTCTTCTATCATCACTATCTCAATAAAAATATATTTCAGAATATTTCATGAATATTCAGAATAATTAAAAAAAAATGGGACAAGTGTAAGATTGTTTAATTTAATTTTCGAACACTTTTTTAAATATAGAAATACATTAGTTAAAAAGTTAATCATATCTAACCGATATATTTTACTTCTATTTGTTAAATACTATAAGAAAATATAATAGGAATTTCAAAACAAGTTCGGTTTGCTTTTATTAATCATGTTACCATGTTGATGTCATTTTGATAATAGAAAACGCCATAAATATTCATATATTTGATCTTGAAATTCATCATCGTACAGATAATCTCTCTTTTTCACTTACTTCTTTGCAAGATACTAAACAATATTAATAATTTAATTTGATCTAATTTGATAATTTAATTTAATTAATCAATTTAACCTTATTTATGTCATATAATACGATAAAAGTATCAAATTTTAAATATGCAACTTTTAAACCAATGAATTTTTAAATTTCTATCTAATATTTAAATCTATATAATTTTGTCTCTATTCATCTAATATGAGAATATAAAAAAAAGTTTTTAAAAAAAATAGCATTCTAAAAGTTTGGACGTTGTATTTACGTGAAGGCTGTTTCACAGCGCTTGGTATAGAGCGGGAGGGAGAAATCGAAGCGAGTCGTTTCATTGTCAAGGTGGAATGTTTCGAAGCGTTGCCCGAGTTAAAATTATCCATCGGTTTTAAAAACACAAAATATGATTTTTTTTTTTCGTTCACCATTGAATCATATTCAGATTCTGCAATTCACTTTAGCCTTTTTTTATAAATTGTTGAATTTATATGTTAATATTCATATTAAAAAATTCATAATTATTTGAATGATTAGTAAAACAAACGAGATTCAAACCTTGCAATATATTGGGGTTCTCGTGACATTTATACATACATGTTTGATAGGTCATGGTCATTCGATCTCATGGACCATGTTTGAATAAACGTACATGCAAGTATAGGTTTTGATATCCCCATATTACAACTTCGAAAACTTTTCCACATTTATTTCTTCTATTAATTTAGTTTAAACATGAATCTAATGAAATAGATTTTTAGATAAATAAAAGTACACGCGTTAATTATACGAGCACACATACGAAAATATTTTTTTATATATATTATTCTCGATAAAGTTTTTGATAAAATTATTTAGTTCTTTTCATGCAATATAACCTTTATGTGTTAATAAAACTACAATAAAATTATTACATATTTTTATAATGATATTATTTAATTAAAGCCTATTTAAAGGATAAAGTTTTAATTGTGTATAACTACAATATTTATAAAGTATTTAAATATTTGTAATTAATATTTAATATAAATATGAAAAATTATAAAAAAAAATAAAAGAATTGAAATGAATAATTCATTATTCTGGATAAGAAAAAAAAAAACAGCAGAAGCAAACGAGTTACGTGAAATTACATCATCGGGAATAATTTGTGTTAGTGACACAGTAATGCAAGTAGAAAGAGGCCTACGTGCGTTAATGGACAGAACGATGATAGCATTTAAAATGTTACTGTGCCATATGACATTACGCATCTTTATGCAGTATCTCTATATTATCCTTTTAAGTGCAACTTCGTTAAAGAAAATTGTCGTTACGTGGCAGCACTGTACTGTCCTCCCATATTAGCTTAGATCAGAACCACATTTTATATTATAAAAAAGAAAGTAAACTAAATTAAAGCAAATCGACGAATCAAAGACAAGACATAAATTTTTTTCTTCTTTTCATTTTTTGAGAGACATTATATTACATTTATTATAGTTAAACAAAAATTTATTCTAAATATTATTTTGAGTATGTCAATGAATTTTGATAAATGCAATTTAATAATTTTGGAAATTATATTTTACAAATATTTTTTAAAGTTTAATCCTGATATTTTGCATATTATATGAGATAAATACATTCGTAGTTTTAATCTCGACCGCTCTTGATCTACGTAATTCGATCTTGCGAGCGCGGGATTTCGATTTTGATATCGGACCGCCCGCTTCTGTGGTTACCAAGTGTCCGATTCACTCGCTTCGAGTACTGTCACGCGATAGGAAACTGAGGTTTATAGCAAATTTTTTTTCGGCTTTCCACACGACTAATGATATTTTTTACGTCAATGGTGTTCCTCTGCTATTTTACCTCATTCATATTTAAGTTTGCTTCCCGTTACACGCAGTTTCTCGTATACAATTAATACAAGATATTTCAAAAAATTGTGAAAAATTAAAAATATCCAATTCCTGACATAAAAATAAATCGAAAATAAAAAATAAAATTTTTTTATATAAAGCTTTGTTTTTAAGAAGATCATACACATATCCAACAAATTTTCAATTTTGATCTTCTCAAAAAGAGTTCCATAATTCTAGTCTATTGCTTTTTAATTCATTTTTAAATCAAGAATCATTTTTTTCATAATTTTGAAGACATTATATATATATGTTAAACAAAGATCTAAATATTTCTTAAAATAATAATTTTTTTGAAAAAAAAAAGTGTAAATATACTTTTTTTAGAGTATCCTTTGGCTCAAGCAAAGGATCAATGGTAGAAACTCTAGTGTATGAGACACCTGTTCAAGAAGAGCCGGAAATCAATCGTTTTATGGATCACAACGGACGCATACCCTCCATGATTACATCTGTACCTGATACCGAGTAAGTAAGATAAATACTTTTTTATAAATTATTTTTCATAATTTTTAATAAATATAAAAAAAAAATAAAAAATAAAAACTTTTTATAATATCAATAATGTATAAATATTTTTTTAAATTCTTTTATATTCATAAATATTTATACATATATATTGTAATATTAATCATACTAAAATATAGAAAAGTTTTATAGATATAAGATTAGTGTTATTAAAAAAATTTTTAAATATTATTAACACTATATATAAATAGAACTACTAGGATTAAAAAAAATAGAAAAATTTTGAAATAAAACTTGAATATATATATTACAGTTATAAATTATTTATTGTAAATATATATTTTGCAGAAAGCATATTTTACAATATTTGAACGTTTAATTTTTATTTTATTTATTTTTTTATTTTGATTTATTGTGCATAGATTTTAGGCCATATAATAATAATTAATTTTTATAAAGATTTTTAAGATTATTTTAAATGTAAATTTTATTAACATACAATTTTTATAAGAAAATTATATCTGAAAATATAATTATAATTATATTCGAGATCTAATAATTGATAATATTGAGATATTAATATTGAATATTGAAGTTTCTTTTCAGTAATAATTTTCTTTAGAAATAATATTTTATTCAAATATTTTCAATATTTTATTAAAGTATTTTTCATCCATGAAATATATATTCGTAATAAACATTTTAAAACTCTACTATATATTTTAGAATTTGTTTTAATTTTAATTACAATTTTATTTACAAAATTTTGATAATCATATCTATTAATATTTAAAAATTTTTTTCATTCGAATGACAATTATAATGTAATAATAATGTTTAAGATAAAAAAAATAATGTATGTATAAGATACATACATTATATATATTCATAAGTATTTTCTATAATAAGTGCTCAAAGATTTAAAATTATTGCTTACATACTGAATCAGTAATATGATATTATCTTAGATATCTTAGTATATTTTCTATTTTAAAAATTTTAAATGGTCGTTAGAAATACTTAGTATTTCTCAAATTTTTTTCTTGAAGATGCACTTTATCCGTGGGTCAAACATTATATTAAACTTGTAGTTTGGTAATTTAGACACCTTCGCCCACGCGCGATGTTCCTAATAGACTTCTACTTATCGTCCAGTACGATCATTATCGTGTTTGATCCGGTTAAACGACGAAGAACACGCACGGAATATTTAATGCCGATTTTCAACAATATCGTTGCTATTTCTATTAAATTTCATTTCAAAATGAATAAATAGATTCGCATAGAATTTTTATGTATTTAATTCTTTACATTATTCTCCGTTATAATATATGAGTTTTTATTAGTTGATTGCAAATTATAGTAATAAATCTTTAACATATTTGTACGATGAGTAATTCTTTAAATAAAAAAATAGTAGCTTAATGTACAAGGTAATGGTATTGACATCATTCTTGAGGTTTTAAAATATTCTTCAACTGCCTCAGGACATATGATGTCATCCTTAAAATTTGCACATGAAAAAACACGAATTTATACATATACATCTAACGATTATATCCCGTTATACTGCATAACTTTATTCGAATAATTATGCAGATAAAATAATAATAATTTAATATTATATCCTATACGTAATATTTAATGAATATCAAATGTAATAAAGGAATAATTCTATATTTTAATATTGAAAATAGATATTTAAAGAGATTCAAGTATTTTCATAACATTGAAAAGATTTTGAGAAACTAAATCTGAAAGAAAAAAAATTCGCGATTTTCATTGCTTTCGAAATTAATAAAAATTCCGAATTTACGTTGAACAAAATGTTTCATAAAAGCGCCGAGAGAGCACAGCACTATCGCAATTTCTCACACGATGTCGGGTAGCGCCATTCAACAGTGCAAAGGCGGACAAGGTGGAGCAAGGGAACTCCATAAACGCAGGCGTGGTGCCGAGGATTTACAATCGATTTCGCGACGCGTATGAGCTTCGTTTCCCGGCGAGTCGAAGCTTAGTTCGTGTCGGGCCTGGGCATCGGTCGACAGCCTTGTGCACATTTTCGCGAGTGTTCAGCGTTGTCGTGTGATACCGGTTGAGCTTGATCAAAGTTCAGAGAAAAGAACTTGCATGCCAGGAGTATTTACAGGAACTTCTCGTCATTGTTCCCGAGCCACGGCCACGGGAAGCTGACGGATTCTCATCTGTCAGGTATATTTCTTTTTCTTTAATATTTATTGATAAATATATGAATACACTCATTCATTCGCTTATAATAGCAATGATTTCATTAATTGTTCGAACATGATCGTATCGGCGATTTTCTTTCCCTTCATTTCTAACTATTTTAAGCGCAACGATAAAAGTTATTAGTCGCGTGCGTCTCGAGTTTTACGCACCAACGATGATCGTGCGTATCGAATAATCGATTCTCCCTGAAAAACCCATAAACCGTATGAACTAATATAATAAAGGGGGAAAGTGGAGAAACATGGTTACGGAGGGAGAAAATGCAAAAGAGACCGAGTACTCTCTGACTAGTTACCATGGCGACGAGCCATCTTGACACACTATGGACCCTTTCTTTCGAATCTTTGGATTTTCCTTTTGTTAAACCGGTATCTCCACTCGAGCAGGAACGTTTTCGCGTTAACCTACTATTTTGCTCTTAACGTTCATCTTACTCACGAACTAGCTTCTTTCTTTCGGCGCATCAATACATTCTACAACCAACAGTAAAAAGTAACTTTTTGAACAGTTATTGAAGAATTGCTCTTTGTGTTCTTTAAAGAATAGCTTTAAATACAAAGCTTACTTATAAAATCAATGCGAATACAATTCAAATCTGTTAGAAAATTCGAATATTGCAAAATATAACATTTTCAAATCGTTATCAGTAATTGAAATATAATCAAATCTTTAACTTACTTAGATAATAGTGTTATCTTACTTGACTTGCCATATCGTCTCTTTTTTTTTCTAACGCCTCTGTTACTTGTAAAAATATTACATTATAAAATGTACATATTTACATTGAAAGTTAATGTTTGAATAATAAATTTTTTATATATATCACCGATAAATATAATTGATAATGAAAATGTGAAGTTCGATAATTTAATTAATACAAAGAATCATATGTTCGTCATTTCGACCGATATTATTTTTTTTTTTATACTTCTATAACAGTATATTAATTTAAACGTTACTTCAAAGCTCGATGCCACTCGGTCATGCGTGACCAGGGTGTTTAATGCCAATCCACCGGATTCATATTGAGAAATTACGTTTATTTCACTTCTTTTACGGATTAAACAATTTCACTCGTTATTTATTCTTCGTTCTTTTAATTTATAACGTTCAGAAAATTTGAATGGAAAATTCGTGCAAATCGAAACGAACAAAGCCGATTTTCATGAAATATCTTTCAGTTATGAATACAAATTGAAGCAGCGCGTGTGGGAGTTTGCGCCGCATCATACAAACTCTTTCAACGATCATGCTTAACTTTTCACACACTCGTTCGTCGTGCACAACCGATCGCATATATCGTTGCATAAATTCCGGCGAGCGTAAGAAGTTAAAAATACACGGCCGAACGAAATGGGCGTACTGTTCCAAAATGGAAAACATGAGGTAATCTCTGAACGACAGTCGATAATTTACGCTTCGTGACGAATCGATACCAAGTTAATTATCATTATATTTGATTCTGATTGACCGTGTATCCAATTTTACCTATTAATCCTATTTTCTCGGTTTTTAGATTTTTTTTCTTTTTGTGGGAAATATATTGAAATAATTTTTCACATAAAATTCTTTTTCTTGGCAAAGCTACACGTCTATTTATGATTCCATTTTCTGGAAATGTCGACTCTTCGATATCATTGACCGTTCTCGTTCGAAACAAGAGGTCGACCTCATAAGGTTATAGACGCAACGGCGCCTATGTATCTATCTGCCCCTTTCTCGTAAAATGATCGATTCTATTGCTCTCGACGAAAAGATGTACATTTATGAATTTAGGTTAGAATTTTATCAAATATGTTTTTCTTCCTAAATCTTCGTATAATTAATTCGTATTTCATTTATATTTATATATTCGTACTTCATACACATTTACATATATATTACGTAGTTTATATGATTTATCGTAGTTTATATCTCGTTTAACGAACAAGCTGACATTGACG